AAAAAAAAAGGAACAAAATTTTTTTTAATGAACTCCCTTCCCTATCATATACTTGTCTAGTATTCTAGCAAGAATCTAGGGCTGAGATATATACATTTAATTGGAATATTCATTTTCCTTTCTTAAAAGGAAATCACTGTAAATTATTTTTAGTTTGCGTTATATGTGTTGCCAAGAAAAAATATCTTTGAGGTTAGCTGGATTTAGGAATAGGTTAAAACAATCAAGAAGTACTAAGGATGACCTATGGCACCTCTATTGTGTTATAGCAAGAGTACAGACTACTACTACTACTACTACTATCACAACACTCTTCTTTTTTTTGGGGGGGGTCTGGTCATGGGGCCTGAACTCTGGGCCTGGGCGCTGTCCCTCAGCTCTTCAGCTCAAGGCTAGCGCTCTACCACTTGAACCACAGCACCACTTCCAGCTTTTTTTTTTTTCTGCTTATGTGGTGCTGAGGAATGGAATCCAGGGCCTCATGCATGCAAAGCAAGCGCTCTACCACTGAGCCACCTTCCCAGCCCCCACAACTCTTTTCTTCCCCCTCCTCCTCTTCCCCCTCCTCCTTCCCCTCATCCTCTTCCCCCCCTCCTCTTCCTTTTGTACCAGGCTGTGAACTCAAAATCTTGAACTTGCTTGACTTGCTTGTTCAACTGGCATTCTCCCACTTGACTCATACTTTCTGCTCCAGATTTTGAGGGTTATTTAGAGCTGCAGTCTCATGGAGTTTTCTATTTGGGCTGGCTTCAAATCTTGATTCTCCAGGTCTCAGCCTCCTGAGTCACTAGGATTAAAGACCTGAGCGAACTGTGTCTGGCAAGAGCACCTCCTTCTAACGTAGTTTGTGGATTTCATACATACCAGTTTTTAATGCAAATATCAAGTCATCAAACTCCTGGGATTCTTCATCAGCAATTAGTGACCCCTGGCCATATGCTCCAGAGGAAGGGAACGAGGCACCATTTTGAGGACTTGTCTTCAAGTCAGGGCTGGCCTGACTGGCTTGTTGGAAGGATGCTCTCTCCCAGTCAGGTGGCACCTTTCATGGGGTAAGGGAGAAGAAAACCATGTGGTGAATACATGCGCATTTGTGCTCAAACCTATATCAACAATTCACATTCATGTTTTGCCATTGAGAGCCTATGAAAGAACTATTGAGTATTTTTAATATTATGACATTTGATTTTACAATTTTTTAAAAAAGAAATGATGTCTCTTTCTTGGCCAATCTCATCTGATGATTTTAAACAATAGTTGTATCAGAATTACATGTGGATGTCTATGCTGTCATGAGTGGATAAAGAGAAGAATGTAATCTAATACACGCATTTAAATTTTTCGGAAGATGTGAGCAAGGGAAACAAGAGATGTCAACAGGAGACGCACGCACCTGATCTTTAATCTAAGGTGTTGTAGTTAACATAGCTGGGCAGATGGAAGACCTACTGAATTTTTTTTAAAAAGCAACTTCTTTCAAATGTCCTAAATCCTCCCTTTGATCAGTTAATTGAGAAGATAGTTCTATTCTGAAATGACTAAATGTATTCATGTATTTCGAGGTAAACTACTCCTATCTTTCGCTTCCTTAGCTCCCCCCTAACCATATGGCTTTGTAGAATGTCGTTGACAGTCTCGTTGATGGCTGGATGAAGGCCAAGTCTAAGCAGTGGGGAATGCAGAGCACACTTGAGGCTATACCTTTGGGCAATACCCAAAGAGAGCACGGAAGCAGTAGCTGGGCAGGCGCTGGCTGCCCACAGAGGTAGTTCTAGGATATGCTAGAACTCTATACTAGAACAATCAACTTGAGAACTTTAAAAGTAATCTGGACAGCAGAAAACAAAACCTTAAATAAGAGAAATTTCATGAAGAAGTTAAACTTTTAAGCCATTACTGTTCAATAGTACTTTCTTGAAAGAGAAAACTGCTTTGTATCTGCCTTCTCCAGTCACAGGACACACGTGATTACTCAAACACTTAAAATATGGCCAGCGTGAATGATGAATTGTATCTGTAATGCAATTTAATTTTAGTTTCTTTGAATTTAAACAACCAGCTATAGTTCAAATAACCTTTTATTAGCTGAAGAATACTCCATCGGATGGTTCAAATCTAGATAACTATTCAATTAACAACCATTCAAAATAACCACAAAATTTCTTTTTAGCAGCTTCATTTTTGACAAAAGGATTTGAATATATACCTGTCCTTGCTGGTATGATGGTGAAATAATTCATTTTTAAAGAACCTTTGGGATATTGAAATGACAATAGACTTCAAAACTTTTAAAAGTACCAAAGACATATTTCATTTTTAATTATTCCACTTGAACTTCTTTACCTTACAGCTAAAATTTGTATATTTTGAACAAAATGCCCCATTTTCCTCACCTCCAGTCTGCAGCAACCACTTTTCTATCATTTGTTTAACTATTGCTAATTGATAGTTCTTTACATTTTATTTTTGGACCAATCACTTATATGTATACATGTACATGTGTATAGTATACATATTGTATCTGTATGTTTTATAAATCATAAGTATGTTTATAAATGACATAAGTCATGTATATGAGTATATTATATAGCATGTACATGTAGATTAGATTTATCATGTATACATATTGGTATAACTTGATTTTTGAATTTTATATACTGTCATGCAGAACAAAAAATGGTTTTGGAAATGTAGTATACTATTTGTTAGGGTTTTTTGTTGTTGTTGTTTTTGTTTTTGTCAGTCATGGAGCTTGAACTCTGGGCCTGGGTGCTGTCCCTGCGCTCTTCAGCTCAAGGGAAGTGCTCTACCTCTTGAGCCACAGGCCACTTCCAGTTTTCTAGTAGTTTATTGGAGATCAGAGTCTCACCGATTTTTCTGCCCAGGCTGGCTTTGAACCATGATCCTCAGTTCTCAGCCACTTGAGTAGCTCGGATTACACCAGCACCCAGCTTTGTTAGGTTTTTAAAGAGAGACTGAGTAAGAAGTACACCACGCACATGGTATTCAGGTATGGGGTAGGTTTATTCATCCTTATGGCTGGCAGCAGGCCACGTTGGCACTCTACAAGGTTGGGAGAGACCTGGGAAAGATGACGTCTGGCCCTGGGCTAGGCCTTATCTAGGGTGGGGGGGTGGGGAAGGGGAAGGTGTGGCCACATTGAATCCAGATGTGACCTCAGCAGATGCAGATATGACTTCTTCCAGGTGTGCCAGTTGCCTAGGTAACGCTCGCACTGGGCGGAGACTTTGCTGCGAAGAGGGTGGAGTCGGCTCGCCATCCAGGAGCAGACTTACACTATTTATCCATTTATGTAATCTATCTTTCTACCTATCTATCAAAAAAAATTCCTATTCAGACACATGTACCTGACTGCCTGTCATTCTTTTTTAGGATAAAAACAGTTTCAACTGGTTCTTTATTACTGAAAGGGCAACATGGCCCCACAGGGAATGATAATTAAGCTCATCTTGAACCCTGCAGAACTGCCTCTGGCCAGCTGTGTTCAGGTATGTTTTTAAATCTAACAGTGGCCCCATGCTACTGACAAGATAGCAACAGTGTGATTCAGAGAGGAAATAACTGGTGTGGACAGAATTCAGATAACACTGGTAGGTAGATTTTACAGAGGAAATCCTGGCTTGACTTTCCAGGAGTGTGGCTAAAGCACTCTTATGAGTATCAGCTGATTTTCTTTTTTTACTGATTGTTGAGACTGAAGCAGTATGATGGGAGGGAAAGAAAGAGACGAAACTATTTGGGAGACTGAGTATTTTTTTTTCTTTTATTTGCTACCTAGAGTTTTAACTCAGGGCCTGTGATTACTAGGTAGGTGATCTGCCTCAGACCACACCCACAGCCCAGGAAGAAGATAGTCTTTTTTTTTTTTTAACTGAGAAACTGCTTTTAATTTTGTCTAATAAACTATAATGGGTTTAATTTTATTAATTAACATTTCAAGAAGATAATCTTTTAAAACTATTTTTAGACTCAGTCACTGTCATGTCAAATTAGAAACATTTTCAAGAAAATGACAAATTTTGTTCTACCTGACTTCTTAACACAAACTGTTATCAGGCTAGCTCACACGGTTGGGAAGAAAAGAAATTAGGCAACAGGTGTGTGATAACAGTAAGAAGAGGTCTTAAGCAACTAGTATTGGGCATTATTCATCTTTTTTTTTTTCTCTTTTTCTTTCTGTTTGCCAGTAGCAGCAATTGAATTCAGGGTTTCTTTTCAAGCTTGCTGAGCTTGCTTAGCTGGCACTCTACCAGATAGACAATGCCTCCTTGCCCAGACTCTTGCTGGTTATTTTGGAGATACATTTTCACAGACTGTTTTTTTCCCTTTGGAGGCGGGGGGGGGGGTGCTGAGCTAGCTTGGAACCTTTATTCTGTGAATCTTAGCCTCTTAAGTAGGTAGGATTACAGGTGTAAGCTCATCTTGTACTTTTGTAAGTGGCAATAGAGGTCAAGCAGACAGAGAGAGAGAAAGAGAGAGAGAGAGAGAATGAACACACCTCTTCCATAGCACTGATGAGATTCTGCGTGGACTTGTTGATTTCTTCCCCAGTGGGAGGCATTCCACTGCCAGGGGTGAAGAAGGCTGTGCTGGGTCCCGGGTGACCATTCATTTCCACGGTGTAGCTGGCCTTCACAGGGCAGCACATTTGGTTGTGTAAAATAAAATAAACCACAAAGACATAAAGTCCCTGCAACAAAGAAAATAAAACAAAACAAAAGTATTAGTGGGTGCAAGACAATCCTGCCAGCACATCTGAAAAATAAACTGAGCAAGTCTTCTCTAAGTACTTTCCAAAGCCTAGGGAAACGTGTGAATTACAGAACATGTTAGCAATCCAGCTTGATCCATGGCTAATTCCATATACTACAAAAAATGTTGGTCAATTTCATTCAGAAGATTGACTGCTAATGGATTAACCATCACCACCCCCAACCTTGGTCAAAATATAAGTAACTCTGAATTTAGATGTACTAAGCATATTCACGGAAGCACAGTTGTAATAGGATAGCTAAGACCAAACCTCTTGTCCTCCTCAAAACAAACAAAACCTCTACCTTCTAAAATTTGTTCTTGGCAAAGTGGGACCATTCAAGTTGTATTCACAATGCAGACACTTAGAAGAGCAGCATTAAACAGATTTCCTGATTTCTTTCCTATATCTCCCTGATTTACTTTATTTGGAAATAGAATAGCTAGGTAGGGACTCAAAGGAGTTCTATGGATTGCTTAATATTCAGCATGTCATGTTCTATAAATGTTACATAAGAAGCATAAAACTATCTTGTGCATTCTTTCAGAGCTATGGCCCTTTAAATTCTTTTGCAACATAGTCAAACTCTTGATACTTACTCTGCTGCCGTCATAGATAGCGCAACACAAATTTTGTGTTTGTGTTCTAGACTTTCCCTGCATTGGCTCTCCTTCATGACTTTTACAAGGGATCTACTGTGTCCTTGCAATGGTGTTTCGCTAAAGCTTGCTAACTGTGACCTTTACACTCTGCCAGTCCAATACATTCAGTTCTGCCTTTTGTATCTATTCAATCTGGCTTTTCACATTTGGATGCACATAAGAATCTTCTTTGTTACAAAAAAAGTATTAAATTAATCCACAAAAAGAAATAAAACTGAGATGCTCAACCCACAAAAGAATAAAAGCAATTAGCGTCATCTTTTCCAGGAAACTTGACTATCCTCATTTGAACTGTGATGTAGTTCCTCACATTCCTAGAAAGAAGAATAGAAGCAATATCTGAAACTTATCTATAGGTATAAGAGTAAACAGCCTATTAGAAAATACTGATAGCCTAAGAATTATGAATAACTCTAATATAAAATGAAATGAGAGGACCATCAACAGGGTTATGTACATGAGCATTTGATGTCTGGCCATTTCTAGAATATTGTGATCATATAAGCTTTACTCCTCTGCCTACTGGGATGGTCCCTTCTCAGACTTCATGGTTTAAAATTATGTTTAAAAATCAGGAGTATGTATGCTAAAATCTTTCTAAAGTAATTGCTTGTAACAGCCATAAAGATGTAAATAAACCTTTATTTCTCTTTGAATTAGGGCTACTTATTCTTTTAGAGACAACATTAATATTTTAAGTTCTGTAGACTCAGTGAGCTCATCTCATTTGTGAATGATACTGTGACTATTACCAGAAACTATCTTCCTGAAAAGATACACATCCAAAACTTTTCCTGTCCAACTAACTTTTCACATAGCTATGACCTAATTATACTGGCCCCAGCAATAGACAAAACAGGGGAAAAAAATCAAACTGTCAACTTAAAAACTGTCCAAATGTCAGTGATTTACTTCAACATTTTTCTAAGCATTGTGAAGTGATAAGGCAAAAGTTGGATCAAAAAGCAAAAGCTATGCTTTAAACCCCATCTCTAAGGACTCATTTGTTCAAACTGCACATTCTCTCTCATTTGTTTTTAGATCCAGCCTTTTGTGCTTGGGGACAGGAACTGCTTGCTGAAAATAACTTGCTTGTGAAAATGGGATGGGTTTTTCTTTCTTTTCTTTTTCCTTTTTTCTTTTTTCTGTTGAAAGCCTAGCAATATACTGTAAATATTTTGAAACTTTTAGATGTGCCTCAGGAAATGCAAACACAGTTAAAATGAAAAGGAAAGAATGTTTAAATGCAGATTAGATGACTTTTGCCTGTGTCCTGACCAAGCTGGGCAAATATAGAAAAAGGACCTTTCATTATCCAAAGTACTCAGCTGTGGAGGTTTCTGACCTCAGAGTCAAAACAAGTTTCCATTGCCAACTCTGCATATAAAATCTCAGGCTCTATGCTGATGTGGACAGAAGTATGTGGTAGGGAGCAGAGGTCAGTGTATGTGTGTGTGTATATACTGGTACTGGGTCTTGAAGCTTGAACTCACGGTCTGAATACTGTCCCTTAGCATTTGCTTAAAACTATGCTCTAACATTTGCACCACTGATTTGTTTGTGGGTTTTTGCTAACTAATTGGAGATTAAAGTCTCATAGACTTTCTTGCCTGGGCTGGCTTTGAACCATGATCCTCAGATCACAGCCACCAGAATCTAGTAGAGTTTTATAAGTGGAGTCTAGATTCTCACTAAATGGATGGAATATTAGGTTCCTACTCTCAAATGGCTAACAAATATAATACTATCCTACTAAATAAAGGGTAGCTGTTTGCACATCCATCTGGACTTCTATCTTTTACCAAGTACAGGCTCACAGGGAAGACTTCTTTCTATGCATCCCTGTTATTATTTTATTGTTCCTTCTACTCCAACCCTGAAAAATGTTTTTCAAAGTCTTTATGCAAATTATAGCTCAATTGACCATACCACTATGATTCAAGCTATTCTTAAAAATTCAGACACTGAAACTTATTAGCAAACACTCAGTGAGATACAAATAAAGCCACAGTAGTCCAAATAATCATAAGTGTTTTTAATCAGGGGTTAGTGTCTCATGCCTGCAGTCTTTGCTACTGAGGAGGCTGAAATCCGAGGATCATGTTTAAAGCCATCTGAGGCACACAAGTCTGAGAAACTTTTATCTCTAATTCACAGCCAGAAAGCACAAACTGGAGGTATCATTCAAGTGGTAAAGCAACAGCCCTGAGTGGCAAAAGCTGACAATGTGAGGCCCTGAGTTATATCCCCAGTGTTTCTGAGTTATATCCCCAGTGTGTCTGTTCTCTCTCTCTCTCTCTCTCTCTCTCTCACACACACACACACACACTAAATAAATACATACATACATAAATAATAAATAAAATGTTCCACACACTATTAAGGAGCAAAATAAACAGATTTTAGCTATTATCTCAATAATTTCTATCAGTTACATATTATCATTTTGTAAATTAAGTAAGAAGTGATTGCTGAGGAGAGGTGGATTAACTCAGCTTGCAGAGTTTCTTCTGATATACCTATACATATATATATATATATATATTTTTTTTTTTTTACAAGTTTTTCAAGGCTTAGTGGCTCCTAAGTGAGGGTTGCCTCAGGTTTCAGATGAGTTCTCTAAATCACTGTGAACCTGATATTTTACTTCCTTCAGAGAGGATGCAGGATAAGGCTCTCAGAAGAATGGAAGGGCCATAGTAGGGTTTTTTTAGCTTACAAATATAAACTTGGAATGGGGGTGTGTGTGGAGAGAAACTTCCATGAAACTCTGAACTTCTAGACAGAAAGAAACCATATCCAGTTTCCTGTTTCATTTTTCGCTTTCATTCATAGTATGATCTCTGGTATTGAGGTAAGCTTAAGAAATACTTGCTAAATAAAAGATTAGGGTTTTAGAATGCCACCAATGGGAGGATAGGAAGGCGGGGGAGAGAGACAGGGTCTGAAGCACGTTTTGGTTTTGGTCCTCTATCTTTTCCGTAGCAACAGCTTGGTAGGCAGAGTTGTTCAACAGCTCTTTTCTTTCCATTCCATCTTCTAGCTTCACATGTGGCATGTGCTAAGACTCTTCATGGGAGAAAGAAGCCTCCACTCAGGCTCCTCTGGTTGGTGTCTCTTTGTGCTGAGCCCTCAGGTGACCTCCTGGTTATCCAGGCTCCAGCAGGGGCTGAGATTACAGGCTGCTATTGCTCCTTCCTATGACATCTTACAGGGATTTCTGCTTTTGTTCACTCCTTGGCAGAAACCCATGGGGAATCTCTGTGATCCTTTGTTCCTGGCTTCTGACCTGCTACTGTTTTGCATCACCAGTGACTTAGCAGTAAAGAAGATAGATTTGATGTCAATCACAGGATTGAGGCAAATTCAGGAGTTCCTGTGCTTGGATATATATGTTAGGTGTGGAAAGAGTAAGAATTTCATCTTCAATGTCTTCATTTTTAAAACTATTCCTGGATTTTACATGTAAACTTTATTAGCTTTATTTTGTTATATTTTTGGTGCCAGAACTGGGGCTTGACCTCAGGACCTTGTGTTGTTGCTTGGCTTTTCTACTAAAGAGTTGTGCTCACCACATGAACCACACCTTCATTTCTGCCTTTTTGGTAGTTAGTTGAAGATAAGAGACTTACAGGCTGCTTTGCTCAGTCTGGATTCAAACAGTGATACTCAGATCTTAGCCTACTAAGTAGCTAGAATTACAGGTGAGAGCCATCAGTGCCCAGCCAGAATGTTTATTCATGAAAGAATCCACAATCTATCTGATTTGTGGTCTAAATTACAGAGAAAGGAAACAAATGAGTTCATCTTGAGAACTGTTGGTTCATCAGTAAAATTGCAATACTTAGAAATCAAAAACATGCTTGAAAGGTATTTAGGTGGATAAAAAATAGTCCTGCTGTAATTTCTTACTAATTTAAGGGACACTATTCAAGTTAGTACAGTGAAAATGAAGTGTCTGGGTTTTTTTTCCCCAGATAATCCTATGACTTAAATATCTGGTAGCATCAGGCATTTACCTTTTAGTCATTTGCAAGGTTGTTGCTTTACCATTTGAGCATGCTTCCAGCCCCCTTTTCATTATTTTCAAGATAGAGTCTTATTTTATGCCTGGGCTGGCTGGCTTGCAATCCTCCTCCTTATGTTTTCCATGTCATTGGGAATGACAGAAATGCATCACTGTTTCCAGCCATTGTACTTCCCTCTAGTTTGTATAAGAGGTCTGCAGTACCACACCCTGTCATTGGTTGAGATAGAGTCTTATAAACTTAAACT